GCCAGCTGGAGATAGTTTAATTCTAAGGACTGAAAGGGTGTAACGATTGGAGTCCAGCTTGAGGAGAGGACTCTGCTCCGTTGAAGAGTGGCTCCGAGGAGAACGCTCCAAGGAGATGTTCTGAGAGAGGTGTCTGAGGAAGAAGAAGGCTGTTCCCCATGCTTCTCCTGGTTGCTGTGGTTGCAGTTGGATGAGGAGAAAAAGTTGGAGATATCCTGATAAGATTGGCCTTGTCCCAAGAAGCCCAACAACCCTAACCACAAGGAAGTCTAAGGAGGTCTATGTCTCCTATCCCATCTAACCTTTCTCTCTGACCTAGTCAGGAGGTTGGAAGGGGGGTAGAGGCCTAAAGAACCCCAAATAAAGTAGAGTTCAAAAAAATAGCATCTACAGTTGCTTTTGCTAGGGTATTTAATGGCAGCAATGAGACAGGTAACGTATCTACCAAGAATCCTCAAACTTAACAGTGACACCTCTTCTTTGACGACAGACATATACACAAACACCTTTTGATACTCCCATAGAAATAGTTAGGCTTCCCAACAAAACTTTTCATTTCTTCCACTTTACCAAAGTTGTTCTTCCCATTGTTCTGATTAAGTCAGGTCAGAAGCAGGAAGTTTTTGTCAGGTAGAGGCGTGGCTGCTAGGTTGACTGTCAAATATCCACAGATTTGCCCAGAAGGGAAACAGTGAACCCAGATACTTATTATTTGCATAGAGCAAAGCAAAAGAAGCATGGAGTCATTCTCAGGGATGCTCCTAAGATGTCACTAACCAAGGAGGCCAAATGGCTGGTGACATAAGCAGAATTGGAGTAGTCTGTGTCTGTGTTGAGGAGCCAGCTGTGAACTGTAGTGAAGATCTACAGAGTGTCTCTGAATCCGAATGGGGTGACATCTGTTCTATGGAATTGGATGTGGACAGCCTTCTGGCAGAGAGACAGATAACAAACGTCCTGATAGTTCCTCTAAGGACAGCCTACGTTCCCACATCCCAGGACAGATCCCGAGGCTTTCTGCCAAGATCTGCTTCAGCGTCCAGTCCCACCTTGCGGAATGTACACACGGAGTGGATTATCTGATTCAGCCCTTGCTTTCAACCCCATAGTCAACTCAGTGGGGAACCCTTGTGATTCTGCCTCTAAACCGGCTGACTCTCTATGGCTACTGTAAACTTAAGCCCCACCCCACGCCACTCTGCACCCATGCATGCCCTCTTATGACCTGGTCCCTATTTAACAGCTAGACCAGCTTTTTTCAGAAACGCAAATCTGATCACTATACATCCTAAGCTTCCAACAAAAGTCAGGAGCATTCTATGACACATCAAAAAAATTTTTTTTCTTTTGCTCTTAACCACAGTCTGTAGAGCTTCCACTAATTACCCCAACACCATCTCCTACAATGCTTCCTCTACTCATGACGCTTCAGTCCCCGAATCTTTCTGCTTCTGCCTCAGGAACTTTGTACATACTCTTGTCCTTGCCTACAGCATGCTCTAACAGGCTCTCCCACCTGTTCAGTTAAGACCCAGAACGAATGTCTCCTTAAATAATTTGTTCCTTCTGACCTGTGCAAAGCCCTCTCCTGGCTTTGCTACCTTGCCCTTTCAATCTGTGTATTTCCTAGCTAGTCTGTGATTAAAAAAATATAAATATATATAAATATGTTATATATTATATTATTATATTTATAATATATATTTGTGGTTTGAAGGAGGATGGCCATCATAGACTCATAGACTTGAATACTCAGTTTCCAGTTGGTGGAACTGTTTGGGAAGGATTGGGAGGTGTGGCCTTGTGGGAGGTATGTCTCTAGGGGTGGTTTTGAAGTTTCACAAGCCCATACCATGTCTCAGCAGTCTCTCTGCCTCATGTGTGAATCAGATGTTAAGCTCTAAGCCACTGCTCCAGTGCCCTCTTCTGGTCTGCAGGCATACATGCAGGCAGAATAATGTATAGAAAATAAATAATAAATAAATCTTTTAATTTATTCACATTGTATCCCAGCTGTAGCCCCCACCCTCATAGCCTCCCAATCCTAACATCCCTCCCTCTTCTCCTCCCATGCCCCTCCCCAAGTCCACTGATAAGGGAGGTCCTCCTCTCCTTCCCTCTGACCCTAGCCTATCAGATCTCATCAGGATTGGATGCATTGTCTTCCTCTGTGGCCTGGTAAGGCTGCCCATCCCTTCAGGGGAAGGTGATCAAAGAACCAGCCACTGAGTTCATGTCAAAGACAGTCCCTGTTCCCCTTACTAGGACACCCACTTGGACACTGAACTGCCATGGGCTACATCTGTGCAGGGGTTCTAGGTTATCTCCATGCTTGGAACTTGGCTGGAGTATCAGTCTCAGCAAAAGACCACTGGGCCCAGATTTTTTGGTTCTCTTGCTCAACTTGTGGAGATCCTGTCCCCTCCAGGTCTTTCTGTCTCCCACTTCTTTCATAAGATTCCCTACACTCTGCCCAAAGTTTGGCTATGTATCTCAGCATCTGCTTCGATACCCTGCTGGGTAGTCTTTCAGAGGCCCTCTGTGGTAGGCTTCTGTCCTGTTCCATTTTCTCCCTCTTCTGATGTCTATCCTGTTTTGCCTTTATGAATGAGGATTGAACATCTTACCCAGGGTCCTCCTTCATGCTTAGCTTCTTTAGATGTACAGATTTTGGTATGTTTATCCTATATTACATGTCTAATATCCACTTATAAGTGAGTATATATCATGTGTTTCTTTCTGTTTCTGGGCTATGTTTTTCAGGTTGATCTTTTCTAGTTCCCACCATTTGCCTGCAAATTTCATGATTTCCTTTTTTAAAGATTGCTGAGTAGTATTTCACTGTGTAAATGTACCACAGTTTCTGTATCCACTCCTCAGTTGACTGCCTTGAGCCCCAGAAGAGATTCTGGACTTGGAAACTATGTTGAGACTGTGAAAGACCACAGGGACTTTTTTTTTTCTTTTTTTAACTTTTAGTTTTTATTTATTCACTTTACATACCAATCGTAGTCCCCTCCATCATCTCCTCCTGGTCCCACCCTTTCTCCCTCTTCCCCCATCTCCCTTCCTGTACTCAGAATAGGGGAATCTCCCCTCCAACCTTCCCCAGCATATCAAGTTGTATCAGGACTGAGTGTATCTTCCACTGTGGTCTGACTAGCCAGCCCCGACAGGGGAAAGTGATCAAAAAGAGGCAAGAGAGTCCATGTCAGGGTCAGCCCGTTTTCTTACTAAGGAATCCACATAAAGACCGGCTACATCTGTGTAGGGGTCCTAGGTCCAGACCATGCATGGTTCTTGCTTGGTGCTTCAGCCTCCACAACTCTCCCCCCCCCGCTTCTCCCCTGGCCCTGGGTGGCTGGTTCTGTTAATCTTCTTGTGGAGCTCCTATTTTGCTGTGAGTCTCAGCATCTGTTCCTTCTGCTGCTGGGTGGAGCCTCTCAGAGGACAGCTGTACTAGGCTCCCATCTGCAAGCACAGCAGTGTATAGTGTCAGGGGCTGACTCTCTTGGGATGCATTTCAGGTTGGCCAGGCACTGGTTGGACATTCCCTCAATCTCTGCTTTATTTTTACTCCTGCACATCTTGTAGGCAGGGTAAACACTGGGTGGAAGTTTTTGTGGGCGGGTTAGTGTTCCCCTCCATCCACTAGTTAGAGGACGGCCTCTTTAGTCTCTACGACCCCTGCTACTAGGAGTCTCAGCTAGGGTCACCCCCATATCCTCCCAGGAGCCTACCCTGTCATAGGTCTCCAGTTTGTCAGAGACGGCCCCAGTCATGGTCTCTCTCCTTTCTGCAGGCCTTCAGTCCTCTTGTCCTGCTTTCCCCAGGTCTGCTCTTCACCCTCATCTCTCTCTACACTTCCTCTCTTAGCCTGTTCCCTCTTCAGCCACTTCCACTGTCTAGTCTGTCTCCCCTTCGGAGTGAGACTTAAGCGTTCTCCCTTGGATCCTTCTTGTTACTTATCTTCTTTGGGTTTGTGAATTGTAGTATGGGTTATCTTATGCTACATGGCTAAAACCCACTTATAAGTGAGTATATACCATGTATGTCTTTCTGGGTCTTGGTTACCTCACTCAGGATGATCTTTTGTAGTTCTGTCCATTTGCCTGAAAATTTCATGATGTCCCTGTTTTGAATAGTTGAGTAGCTTTCCACTGACTTCTGATATATATGTCCTCGAAACTATGGGGGCCAGGGAGTAGAATTTGGTTGTGTGAATGAGAATGGCCCCAAACTCATCTGAATGTCTGTTCCTCAGCTGGTGTCGCTGGGCTTTGAGGTTTCAAATGCCCATGCTAATTCTCAGTCAGCTCTTTCTGTCTATCTTTGCCTTGTGCTTGTAGATCAGATGTAAGCGCTCAGCTACTGCTCCAGGACCATGCCTATACGCCTACTGCCATAGACTCTAAGTCTCTGGAACCATAAGCTCCCAACAGAGTCTTAACAAAAGTGTCTTGTTATGGTGTTTTGTTTTTGCAGAAGGAAAGTGACTAAGACAGTGTTCATCAACCTCTCTTATCAGAACAGGAAGCGAGAGCAGGGGCTTGCATACTCCACCATACCCAACAATTCGCCAAGGTTTGCTGAACAAATGCCATTGCCAGAATTTTATAAATATAAAGGAAAAAGAGATCTAGGATTCTTTTTCATTTTTTTAAAGATGTATTTACTTATTTATTATGTATGCAGTGTTCTGTCTGCATGTACACCTGCACACCAGAAGAGGGCACCAGGCCTCACTATAGATGGTTGGGAGCTGCCCAACCATCTATAACCATCCCAGTGGTTGCTGGGAGTTGAACTCTGGCCCATTGGAAGAGCAGTCAGTGCTCTTAACCTCTGAGCCATCTCTCCAGCCCCTTTTTCTTGGTAATTAAAGGGTATTTTTACATGTAGTTCCAGCCTTATCTTCATAGCTGACTTAAGAAAATTATATGCCCAGAGTCACCCAACCTGTACCATTATGAAGCAATACCAGCAATATGCAAATACCATTAAATGTAAAAATGTTTATTCACAATCCTTGAGAGGTTACCATTCCTTCAGAAAATTCTTTATGAACAAAAAGCCAAGAAAATTACAACAGTAGCTTATGCCAAACCAAAAATATACATCTGATGTAATATAAACCTTAAAAAGCATTAACACAGGCAATGTGAATATAGAGTACCTTTAAATTATTTCCATGACACGCCTACAATTTAAATTTTAAGACAGATATAAATAATGGCATAACCTAATGTGTATTTACATATCAAAGTGTATTTATTTGTACGAGATTAAAAAATGGCAAGACTACAGATGTCATTGTACAGCAGTTCAAATACCGAAAGGGCCACATAATTTTTCACATACAGCAAGAACTTGACTATTCCTACCGGGACCTGCTTGTACTGTTGAGAGCATGCACCATCACTGCTGAAGAGAGAAAACAGCAAGATAGACAGACTATAGTGTGCTTGCCCAAGTGACACCCAGTCCTCAGCCAAACCAAGCAATGCAGTCAGGGAACGTTTCACAGCCCTGGCCTTTTATACGGCTTCCATACACCCATGAATTAGCTCTACCCCACAAAGCACCTTGTACCACAAGGCAGAGTAAAGGGCAATACAATCACTGGGACCTTTCATAGCAGAAAGGATTTTATTTACTTTCAAATACCCGTATTTTAGTGTTTTCTTAAGTCATTCACAGAATATTTTCTGTGTAAAATCTTTCAAAGATCATTCACTGGAAATACAGAACTGAAAAAAAAAAATGAAACTCAAGATCTCAATTTAAAGCCAATATAGTGGTATGTAAAAGGAAGTACAACTTTTAAATAGATATTTTTAAGGATTAGTTTTAATTGTCACCAACTCAAAGTGCCCAAGCTCCGGAAGCTTCTCTAGTCTTACTGTCCTTCATTTAGAGGGGTGAGCAACAAGCCGGGTATGTGTATGTGACAGGTGAGGAGAGGCCGGACACCAGCATGCCTTGGGACATCTCCAGCTATCTACTGGCTGCCAGACAACAAATTAAAACAAGGAACCAAAGTAAACAGTGCTGAAAAAGGAAAAACGAGCCTTCCACATGAATCTAACCGTCCCTCCTCATGCTGCCTTTACCACCTATGCTGAGAATTAACAACAAAGAAATACTTTCAGGTTTATTTCCATAGTAAGATAGGCTTTGTAAAGCAATCAAAGTAAAACTAATACAGATTTAAGATGCAGAGCTTGACCTGGGTGAACAGATGCCATGAGTGTTTGATATGTCAGAGTCAGCGAGGCAGTCCTGGGGCGCAGAGGCAGATGTTGAAATCGCACTTGACTGAAGCATTCAGCTCTGTCCTCTATTGCTGCTGCTTCTAGGAGAACAAACATTTGTCACATGGTTGTTTTTGCCACCTTACAAAAAGGCTTGGCATGCCAACTGTACATTCTGGTTGATTGTTAACATTTGGTAAGTAAGGTCACAAGATTCATCCTATCTGATCTGCTGATCCATATCAGACTGCTTGGTGGCAGAATCTGACAGTTCTAACACAGGATTCACAAACCCAGAATACTCAGAATTGCCATTATCGTCCATCTCAGCACTGACAAAGTCGTTCTCCCACTCCAGTCCATTGGAGTCATCAGAGGCCGACGTGGGGTTGCTACCCTTCTTGCTGCTGTACTTCAGTGCAGCCCGCAGAATGTCTTCTTCTGTCTTGGAGCGCTCTCTCATTGGCAACGTCCTGGTCATTCCTAGCATTTGAAGAACATTGCAAGAATCTCAGTAAGGATCAAAAGCTGTGCTAAAAGACTTGCCAGCTAAGCCAAGCGTACGGTGCACACCTTTGATCCCAGCACTTGGGGGCAAAGAAAGGTGGATCTCTGAGTTAGAGGCCAGCCTGGTCTTCAAAGAGTTCCAGGACAACCAGGGCTACACAGAGAAACCCTGTCTGGAAAACAGACAAACAGATAAGTCTTGCCACCTTAATAATATGAATGTTTTTGATTGCTTCTTAGGTTTGATGTGTGGATTAACCTGTTGGAGATTTCTTAATGGAAAAATTTGGGCTGTCATCGTCACAAGACACACATCTTTGATAAAAAAAACAAAAACAAGCAAATAAAAAAACTGCAACACCGATCATCTGATAAGATAAAATTTCTGAAGGGCCCCAAATCAAATATACCGAGACCTAAAGCTCATCACTCTGGGTCTTGTAAGATCACTTGGTATCTTTGCCAGGATCCTTTCCCACCAGATGATGGCTGCATTTCCTGGAGAAGGCAAAAATGGCACCGCAGTGACAACACAGGCTTTCCCAGCACCTGCCAGGCCGCTGCTAACACTGCACTCACTTCCTGTAAGCAGCCCTGTGAAGTCAAGTACTGCCCAGCATCGACTCCAGCAGAGAGGTGGACGGTCGCCAGGTCACACAGCTATGAGGCAGAGAGCGAAGCCCAGGGCTCCCGCATGCTGGGCCAGTCTCACTGCTGAGCTACGTCCTAGCCAAGGCTGAATTTTAGTTTACTCAGCCTGGCTCCAAAGTCTCTGTTCTCATGATATCTTGATCCTCTACTATAACAGGGTGTAGATATTGCATAGTTCTAGATTTAATTCTGAGTATAAATTGTTAGTAACTTGAGTCTCAAAAATCCTGAAGCAGATGGAGGGGAGAAAGGACAGAAATTTCTAAATAAATCAACATTGGTGAAAGAACTAAAATCTAGGATGGGCAAAGAGGTTATAGGAAGTAGGAGACACAACCAACTTTATTTTCTGAACTTAAAGAATCAGATCTCACAGTAAAGAAAGGAAAAGGACAGACACTGTTGTGTGTTACTCATAAAAAATTACAAAGACAAGTCAATCAAGTAAGTTGTTATACTAAATGAGAACACTATAAAATATGAGCCAGGGTTAAGGAGATGGCTCAGTGGTAAGCTGCTTGTCAAACAACTAAGAGAACCTCAGCACCCATGCAGACGGCCTAGTGTGGTCCCAACTATAATCTGAGAGCTGGAGAGGCAGAGTCTCTGACGGCCAGCCTAGCATAGTCAGTGAGGCCAAGTCCCAGACACAAGATAGACAGCCCTAGAACACTGAGGCTGACCCGTCTACACACACACACACACACACACACACACACACACACACACACACACACGAATGTGGGCTGAGAAGTCATATGCATGTATACAGTGAACCTGCTTCCTTGGACTGAAATTTCTCTAAAGGAAGCCGCAATTGTATATCAACCGAAAAGGTTTTCGGTGGATTCTTTTCTCCGCCTGCTCTAGCTGAACAATTTTGCTAATAAGCTGGGTAATGAGCAGGACAGTTTATTTATATGATTAGCACACACGTAGTTGACAGAGTAAGTACGAACGAACTGGTGACTGGGATGCAAACCTACACTACGGTGAATGCTGTGTGTGTAAAGATTTAACAAGCTAATGTAGCCTGTCATAAAGCTAAAGTTGTCTGCCTATCCGTCTTTAATTGACAAAACAAAATAGCATGATTAAAGGATATCTAAGATCCATGTCATCACATTCTATGAATTGCTTAAACTTACTATTTTAAGTTCTATACTCTGTAATTCTTTCTTGCATTGCCTATTTTTTTTAAACATGAAGTTGTGTTGAAAATAAGTAAATATTTTAGCTACAATCCTGAGCACTTGTATGTGCCATTCCCTATACTAGGTGCTTTATATATTTATATATACTAGGTATTTGTATTTAATGACTACCATACTAATTTCTCCCAAATATTTATTTATTTTTATTGTTTTTTTTTATATGCTGAGGATCAACCCAGGTCCTTGCACAGGCAAACACTCTACCTTTGAGCTACATTACCTTCCCTAGCCAAATACTTTATTGTTTATTAATACATTAGCACTTACATAAAATGAGAAAATTACCCTTTATTCTTCCCTCTTGAGGATGAACAATTATGGCTTAGAGAGATTAAGAATCTATATAAGTTCTATAGCTTACAAGACCAATGAGATAAAATTTAAACTTAGAGCTGAACAATGGCTTCTGTTTTACAAAAAAAACCCTTAAGAATTAAATTGTTTATTTGTAGTTAACCAGACATTATCTGACTTGACCTTAACTTGATTAGAAGGAGGTAGTAATCCCTCAAATGGAAAACTGAGATAGGTTATAAATGCTTTTTAAAACTTAACATTTGCTTTCTAACTCTCAAGAAACATAAAAACTTACATAATTTTCTAAAGAATTCATTCTGGGATTATAATTATTAATAAATAATAGTCATGGGTTTGCAAGATGGCTGAGTTGGCCAAGGTGCTTGCTGCCAAGCAGAAGGGTCTGAATTTGAACCGCAGGCCCCACATGGTGAAAGGAGAAGCCAGTGCTCCCAGAGTTGTCCTCTGACCTCCACACCCTGTGGTGTACACACATCATGAGCACACACACAGAATATAAAAAACAAACAATAATAATTGTTAGTCATGTTAAGTTTTAGCTCACACCTTTAACCTCAGTACCCATGAGGCAGAGGCAGGTGGATCTCTATGAGTTTGAAGCCAGTCTGGTCTACAGAGTGAGTTCCAAGACTCTGGAACTAGTGAGACTCCTTTAAAAAAAAAAATTAAAAAAGGTCTGATAATGATTTTTCACAAACTTAACCTTGTATATATTCAACTTAAATACCATGAAACACAAGGCAGAAAATATTTACATTTGGGCTAACACAGGTTAATGTGACTCTTAGGGAAACTGAGGCGGCATACCTTCTTCATCTTCCCACTCCAGGTCCAAGGAGGTGCTGTCGTCGTTTCCACTAGTTGATTTGGTTTTGGTCAGTAGGTCACAGCTGCTTTCGGTATTTGGTGTCAGTGCTGTGGCATCAGATGAGAGCCCTGGAACACACGCCAGACAAACTGACATGCCACTGTGCTCTACCACAGCAGTCATTTTCTCTCCTGCAAATTTCTACAAATACAGTTCTTCATGTGGCGAAAAGTAAATTGAAAATGTTCAGAGAATATTTTAAAGACTTACTACTACTTCGAAAAACTTCGTACTGTGACTTTGTATTTCTCAAACAATATTCAAAGTCATCTTCTGGTCCTGCACTGTAACAGAAGTGAATTTAAATGCATTTGTAAACAGATTCAATAGAATGACTACCTATGCCAGCGATGGCGTCTCTGTTTGTACAATCAGATTATTCTGGTGAGTAGCTGGTAATGTTTTAGTGCTACCATGAAACTGAAAACACACTGACTGTGGAGGCCGACCCTGAGAGCTGGTCTGTACAGTAGCCCTGTTCTGACAAGCACACACATGCTCTCTCTTACGGAGAATAACTAAGGTTATTACCACCGGCCTGCAGGAAACCAGCTGCCGCATCCCTTTCTACAGGAAGACATTAGTACTCTTACAAATGCATCAAAATCTGTCTGAGCGATCATGTACAGCTTAACAAACACAATGGTCTCAGTATTCTTCAAGACAGTGTCTTAGAAGAAAGTATATACGAACACAGAATATATGTACATATAATTTTGGAGGTGTAACACACACAGGGGGGTACACTAAGGATTGAATCAACGGCCTTGAGTGTATGAAGAATATATTTACAGATATCTGTTCGGAAATAGCACTTTCTGCCACAAATGGAGGAGGAAACCCACGTTGCTCTTTACCTTTGATAGTCTCCACTGCTAGGATGATAGTGCTGTGCAGCTCTCTGTTTTTCTTGCTTTGGAAACACAATGTAATACAAATCATTTTGATGTCAAGTCACATTCTTAAAAAACACCCATGCAATGCCAACATCCTCTTGCCTAGGTTCTAAGAACTAAAAGTTAGTGTTAATCCACTGAAAGCCTTTCCCTCCTCATTACACTGCATCCTCTTATTTAAGGACAGGCGTTTTCTCAGCTCATCAGTGTGTCATGTTCTTAATCAGTGCTGTGAAGCAGATGTAAACAGGTGTGTAATGGTGCCCTGACACTCTCAATCCTGCTGGGAACTTCCGTGACTAGAAGGATCAGGCAGGAAAGTCAACTGTTAAGTCATATGCGGTCATCTAAGGATCTGAAGGCCGAGCTGACCCAGGTACTCTAATGCGATGGATCACTAGGGACTCAGTGCAGGATCCTATGGAGCCACCAGAGGGCTTTGATAGTGGCTGTGCATTCCTGCTATGAGGGTTAGCTTCTGCTTCTCCACTTGTTGATTACAGATGGCTAATGTCCTGCCTTAGCAGAGCCAGTTGCTAATAAAGCAATGAAGCAGCACATGTCTGTACAATATGCAGATGATGTATTCCCAGAGCAGGAACACAGAGAACCTAGATTACCCAAACTGACACATCAAATAGGGCATGGTAAGCTGGTGGTTCTCAGCCTTCCTAATGTTTCGGCCCTTGAATGCAATTCCTCATGTTGTGATGATGGCCACAACCATAAAATTATTTCATTGCTACTTCATAACTGTAATTTTGCTACTGTTATGAATTGTAATGTATACATCTGATATGTAGGAAATATGATATACCCCGTGAAAGGGTTATTTGGACACCAAAGGGTCTTGACCCACAGGCTGAGACCCACTGCTTTAACCAAAAGTCATGGTAGAGCATTTATTATTGTAAAAAAGAATGCCTATATTAAGAACAACAATTAGTTTCATAGATAGTGAAAGTTACTTTAAAGTTTTCCATTACTTAGGATGTACTCCAAAAAGGCACTTCCCCATAAACAATCCGCTGAGACACACCCCCTCAAAAAGAAAGAAAGACAGAGTTCTTCAAAGAATCACAAAGATGGGATTTTTCAGGTTGTCTGAATTTCCACGTGTTATCCGAGTTCTGTGCTGGACCCTGTACTGCTTAACACTGGGGTGGAAAAACTCCACCCGGGCAGTTCAGGGAGGACAGTGAGCAGTGTACCGGCAACCCACGCTTCAGCTCTGCTCTCCCGGGTGTCGCTGGGAGGTTAGCCCTTCAGCTTCCTTGCCGGGACAGGGGTTCAAATGCCCCTTCTCCTAGGACGGCTGTGAATTTTAAACTAAGAATCTTCCCAGTACTGGTCCCCACGCTTAGTTCTAGAAAAATCTGTGACTGGCAGCTGTCAAGCATTGTGTGATAATGTCATATTCCCATGTCATGGTAAGATAGTAAATCTGTCTTCCCTGATAATAAGCCAAAGATTTCTCAAGACTCTTAATGTCTCAAAAACTTAAGAAATTGAGAATTAAACAACACCCCTAGTGAGCCATAAAGCATATAGCTTGTCTAATATAAAAATGAGTCTTACAATTTCAGAAACTGTTTCTAAAAATCTTCATGAAAATACACTAAAATACTTGACAAATTATAAGGTTAGTTTTGAAATATCTACCTCCTAAACACAGTATTTCCCCCAAAAGAATCTGAATTCAAAGCACTAAATTTATCTTTTGGCTAACCAAGAATTAGCTCCTGCTAACCTACACTTACACAGTGTTAAGCACATGTTTATATTACTTCTAGAGGATAAAGCTTAATTAATTTGCCTTTGACATTCTTAAGAATATATGCCTAAGGACATCCTCAGCTAAACAAGGAGCTGTTGACTGTAGGAGAAAAGCCCCAAATTGAAACTGTCAGAGAGAACAAGGAGAGAAGTAAGCCTGGTGTGCGCTGGGGTCTCTCCCCCTCACCTCCAGGAGCGCTCGCTGCCTTGCTGCCCTGGCTGCTTCACGCTGGGCAGCGTATAAAGCTTCTTCTTCTAGTCTTAACTTCTCCTCTTGTAAGGCTAACTGTACATGAACAAAACGATAAGGATTAACGGAAACCAGAACCTGTCTAGCTGCTCTAAAAATCAGCTATTCCGATTATAAAACAAAACATAAATCATTGAAAATAACTGATATCTATGAAGCAGATTAGAATAGAGATGTTTGTGGCTGCTCATTTCAAATTTTATAAAATACCCCACATGGTATGTAAGGCATCTCTAGAAAATGCAATGATCTTCATTTTCAATAATCATTTTAATACTTGTCACCTTGACAATAATGGTTTTGGCCCTGACAAATCAAAGAAACCTAAATCCAAGGCCAATCATATCTCTTCTTTTCCCAAATTCCCATCTTTCCACTTAATTGACCGCATACATATTTCTCAATTTTACTAGTACTTATTATCCAGAAACTACTTTCAAATTTAAATTATTACCATTCATAATAGCATACACAGAACCTTGGTCATAAGTACTGCAGATCAAATCTAATTTAACAAGCCAAGAATAACCTCTTTGATTTGTAGAGTACTAGTAGATTAAATTAATACACTCATAAATCACTTATGGTACTAAACATACTGACTTTTATTTTTACTTAAAAAAATTCTTTTTGGTACTGCAGACTGAACCCAGCACCTTGTACTCAACAGCTTCCCTAGAAGATCAGAAGGTTATTTTATTTTGATATAGAATCTCACTATATATAGTTTGGTCTGTCTTTAAGCTTGCTATGATCCCACGGCTAGCCTCAAGCTCATTCTCCTGCCTGTACCTCCCAAGTGCTAGGCAAATACTTTCTTGCCCGGCAAAAAAGACTGCTTTTTAAATGTAGATTAAAATATAACTAATTCTCTTTAGTTCAGTGATAATGAAGCCATGATAACAGGCCACTTCCATAAATATATGTAACAGTTCATTATGACTGGACTGGTGGAGGTCCTTGGTTCACTGAGAACAAATAAATCCAAGACCCACAAAAACAGAGCAGTTGATTTAGGCTGACGGAGGCCAAGGTACTTGTTTTTTGCTTGGCACTTCTACTAGTGAACTGAGAACCATCTTTAAAGAGTGCTCTATAGCTACCATGTGACATTACATGACCTCTTAACATGAAATCAAACTAATTCCATACAGTATATGGCTTTTGAATCACCTTTCTCTGTATTTACGTAAGCAGAGGTCAGTGATTGTTGGCAACACATCCGTGAGCACCCACCCACAGGCTTCAATTCACATGTATTCACAGCAGCACACGCCACTTACCTCCCTCTGGATTTTCCTATCCACAGCTTTCTGTTTCTCAGCAATAGAATCATAGTGCCTCTCTTGTAAGTCAACAATTTCTTCCTCAGTAAGTGGCCTAGAGAAAACAGGAGGGAGGGAAAAGGAAAAAACAAAACAAAAACCCTTCTGATGAACCTTAGTCCAAATAAAACATTCCCAAAGCCAGGGGAATGCTGAACTTTTACTGCCAAAAGATGAATTAAAGCAACTGAACACAGCTTCAATTGTCCTGTGAAACTAAAAGCTGAAATACAGTAACAGTCCTTCCGTCAGCTCAAGATGCCGTGTTCCCTTTTCTCGCCAGTTTCCTGTTAGGAAATATGGACTTTGCTACTCTACACAGGCTCTACTTCACGGCTATCCTTGACTACACCCTGAACACAACCACAGAGCCTATTTTCACTGTGCTGTACTTTCTTCTCCATGCTCACAGGCAATGCCTAACCTTCCTTCCAGTCACCCTGGGCTCCGCAGGCCTTCTTTCTGCCTCACCAGTAATCTAGTCTCTACTCAGGACAATGAAGACCTCATTTCCTTTCTCACCGTACACCTTCCTATGTTCCTGCCATTATTCCAATCACTAGCTTACTCACTCTGGGCCCCGAGTCTTTCCTGTTTTTATTCCCTACTGCTGTGGGCCACTAGAAAAAAAAAAAAATACACCAACAATTTAGCAACAGTCTTTTAACTTACACAAGGTGACCGCCTACATTAACTACTCCAAAACTTTCTTAAGTTTCTTATTTAAGCTTTTTTTTTTTTTTTTTTTTTTTTTTTTTTTTTTTTTTAAAGCAACTACATTTCACTTCCACTTCTACACTTAATTTTATCTTATTCTTCCTTCCCTTCCTTGAGGTCATAGTATGAGTCACTCAAGTCCAGGGCTTGCTCCTCCAGTACTTACAATGTCCGGCTCATCCCAACACCCATAGCGAGTAAAGGCAGAGATTACATGTGAGGGAAATGAGACGGCTGCAGATTAAGGACAAGCATGTGGTAGAGCTAGAACTTAAATGCAGGCAGTCTAGCACCTTGCTCCTAACTAGTATGTTTCCTGTCTCCATGTACTTGCCTCAGCTCACTCAGTTCCCTGCAGTCATCAGCTCCCATCACTCAAGTATCTCTGGTAATCAACTGTCTCCATGGTGTTTAATAAACACAGCAAACAGCTTCACGTCCTTCTCACCTCACTTTCACAATCAGTATGAGCCTGCTCTCTAGTCTGGCCTGTGTCTGGACCTTCTCATTTCTCTATTGCCTCCCTACCCTCTCCTGGCTCTTTGTTTCTCTGTGTTTCTGCTTAGTTCACAGCACTCTTCCCCATGCTCTAAGAACCCTCCTCCACCATCCCCCAACCCGGGGATGTGACCCCACGCCTTCTGAGGTGGTGCGTCTACCACTGAGCTAGTAATATCTGGCATGAGGAAGTGGGCTGATGATCTAATGATGCACATTTTTGGTCACAGGGACTCTCTAGATTTACTAGTGTGCTCTATGAGTGCTACTTCACACTAACATGCTATCTCTAGGATCTTTCTTCCAGGATACACTTTCTTCTAGAGGCCAACATTCACATTCACATTCACACACACACACACACACACACACACACACACACACACACCCCTTCTTCTAGAGACCAACATTCACACACACACACACATACACACGGATTGGGGGGGGGAGGGAGAGGAAGAGGGAAAGAGAGACAGAGAGAGAGCTTGAGACTAGACCAAACCAGGGCTTTGCATATCCTAGGTACTGAGCCATGTTCTTGACTTTTGTCGTATTTTAAAGGGTCTCATACAGCCTAGGCAGTTCTCCTGAGTGTCTATCAGAAGCCTACTTCATGTGTGTCCAGTGCTATTATTATTATTACACATCTGCAATACTGCACCAAGGTCATACTTAATTTTCCATCCCAATATCTAACACAGTGCCTGGCATATGGTCAACTGCCAATAAAGGTTTGTTAAACCAAAACATGCAAGAAAAAAAACCATACTTAAAATAAGAAACAACTTCCTTGACATGAGAAACTTTCTTTTAAAATTTTATTTCATATACGTGTGTATGTGTGTGTGTCTGTTCTGTCTGCTTGTATGTCTGTATACTACTTGCATGCGGGGTGCCTGGGAAAGCCACAGGAAGGTACCAAATCTCCTGGAACTGGAATGACAGATGATTGTGAGCCAAAGCAAATCTGGGTCCTCTGGAACAACAGTTAGTGCTCTTAACTGCTGAGCCTTCTCTTTAGCCCAGGAACTTTCTTTTGAGTTAAAAATATATACTTCTTTTTCAAGCAGTCTAAGCAATTTTAATAGCAGATATAAAGGCTATGTAAATAAACTGGAGTACTTCTGAAGTTATAAAAGGGCTTTTAATTTGTAGAATGTTTTAGAATGTCAAGAAGAAAAGGGGGGATGAAACATAAAAAGAAATGGAGTTATCAGCAGGTTATGGTGGCGCAAGCCTTTAATCCTAGCACTCCAGAGGCAGAGGCAGAGAAAGGTGGATTTCTGTGAATTCAAAATCTACGCAGGGAGACTCAGGGCATCAAAGGCTACAGAGAAACTGTATCAAAAAAAAAAAAAAAAAAAAAAAAAAAGGAATTATCAATCCTAACTGGCTTTAAAAAAACTAAATGATTTATAACCTAGGCCCAATTAAAAAAAAAAAAAAACCTGAAAAATCAATATACATCATTTTTCTGCTAAAAATATTGCTTTGGGAAATATGTCTTATTTTTATGTACAGAGAAAATTTTGTTTGTGAAACAAAGTATTCAGTGTCTCAAAGACTATGATCAGAATCTTTTAATCTTTTGGGAATTCAGATTTCAAGAGCTTACATTCCGCTGTTTAAAAGTTCCATTCCATCCTGCAGGGAAGCTCCTTAAGCAAGAAGTAAACAACTCAAAAGGCTTCAGGAAATCCCTGAAACTGACTAGATTCACGAGGGCCTTCCCTGTCAGAGTAAGAAAAACTGAGAGTCCTTCTCAGATAAGCCATGTGCAAGCCAAGCTGCAAAGACGATTATGAGACCAAACCAGCTGCTTACAAGAGGTTTAGACCAACTGAGGCATCTGAAAAGGATATTCTCCAACCTTTTGAACTGCTTGCAGTGAGTTCATGATTCCTAGTTTTGTGAGCTATCACCTACGCTAGGGTGGCCTTGCTGATGTAGCTGTCTCTGAGTCATTTCTGTTCCTGTAAGTAACCCCTCACCCATAACCTTGGTTCACCAAGTTGGGCTTTGGGGGTATTTGTACTTTGGTCTGTCATGGGCTCCCTATCTGTGGTGGGTAGATGCGTGTGCAGCATCTCCCCAGGGAAAGTTTAGTTACACAACACTTACATATTTTGTTGTTTTGAAAAACCTTACCTATGGCTGCTTCCGGGGCTCTCCCCCTGCACAAAAATTAAACAGGTAAAAGAATTTTTACTAGTTGAACTCACTACTTAAGGCAAGTCAAAGAAATTTTCATTTAATCAAAAATACTTTTTTACTTACCTATTTCTGTCACAGAAAGCAAATTTCATTGTTAAAAGGATTTGAAACAAACAAAAAAACCTGAACTATTTTTCAAGGCAAAACTAATTATAGAAAAACCATTTGCTGGATACTTCTTAATTTTTTAACATTTGTTATGTAGCAAATGAGCTCTCACTGTTGGGACATGCCAGACAACACACTTACTAAGTCTTCAGCATTTGTGGCTGATCTCCATTATTCAGATTTCAGTGTCTTAGAATTTATATACCTGTGAAAAGGTTTTATAACCCTTTCCTGGAAATAAATACTCTTTAGACTTTCTGGCCACTTGGAAGCACACAGAATAGCAAATAACTGAAGAGTTGGCCGGGGACCTAGGTTCCTAGCTACAGTGCACAGGTACCACCCTGGCCTCTTGCTACATCTCTCACACTAAAGGAGTAGCCTTTGCCATCGTTGCTTGCATTTTGTGCTTTGTGGCTTTACTGCCTAAAGTTATTCCTGACACAGGGAGATCCTGGCTTAAAGAAAACAAAACGCCCCAAAATGTGGTGTCTAACTGCTGTCTGGTGATCCTAAGCACAAGAAGGTGTGATGTGTCTTGTATAGAGAGTATGTGGATAAGTTTCAATAAAGTGTGTTCACTGTGAGCTCGAAGTTGGCGAGTCAGCAATCCATGCTCAGGAAAGTGTTTCCAACACACAACATAAGCCTGTGAGTTTGTGAGCTGATGCGCGTGCTGTGACTGGAGGTTTCAGGAGTCCACCTCTTAGTCCCCCAGGAGGAAGGATTTGGTCACAGCATTCGTGAGGACTCTGAAGCAGTTTAATTACAACGTGAATGGCGGCTGGCCAACAGCTGAGTGCTTCTGAGAGCACTGCTCCTGCAGTGTTCTGAGCCTAGTTCCCACCCCTGCATCATGTGGCTCAGCTGCCTGTGAGTCCAGCTGCAGAGACATGATCTGCTGCTCCCCTGCTCTGGGAGAGCACCACACACATGGCATAAGTGCAACAGGTATCCATACACAGTGAACAAGAGGAAAAAGGAAATCAAAAAAGTAAAAGGAATTAAACCGACTGTTTATTTTATAAAATAATAAAGTTTTATTGCCCCTTTTCTCTTCAAAGCAAACCATAATTCTTTTAAGACTAATCTGGGCCTATGAGTATTTCTTCTACACCTAAACAGTTCAGCTGCCACCCATTGCTAAGTTGGCAGCAGGAATCAGACAATCAGTGGTCCACACTTATGTCCGAAGCGGCTCCACAACACAGGGTGCTACGCACCCACCACAAGTGGGCCAGAGGAGAGGCTGGCCAGCAAAGTGAGAGCCAGCAAAAAGCGCTGAGCCAACGACTGAAAGCACTATAGGGAAGCAGGGAGGGGCAGGCTCTTCTGAGAAGCAGACGCTGCTGAGGTGAACTAGGAAGCCGAAAGGAGCCTTCCCTGTGAAGGACGAGGAGGAGGGGCTGGGCGTTGGGGAGGAAGGCTGCATGGAACGCAGATGTTCCTTCACTGGAAGAACAAAGGCTGGGCAGTTCCCTCAACTGTCCTACCAGACGATGCATGTATCTTGCTTTTGAAAGGTCTTTTGTGTTTTGTTTTGTTTGCTTGCTTTTTGAGACAGGGTTTCTCTGTGTAGCCCTAGCTGACCAGGAACTTGCTCTGTAGATCCACCTGCTTCTCCCTCCCAAGTGCTGCACCACCACCACCTGGCTAGGAAGCTCCTTCTATCAAATTATTTTGAGAAATGCTGAACTGGATACGTTTAAATTACTTTAATAATTTAAAATCACATTTTATTTATTTGTACGTGTGTGTGTGTATGTGTGTGTGTGTGTGTGCGCGCGCGTGCCCTCTCTTTCTCTCTCTCTCTCTCTCTCTCTCGTGTGCACACAGGTGTGTCATGGCAGGCATGTAGAGGTCAGAGGATAACCTGTGAGAGTCCATTTTCCTCTTCCACCATGTGGATCCTGAGGGCTCAACTCAGGTTTGGTGGTAATTGCCTTTATATGCTGAGCCATCTCATTGGCCCCATGATTTATATGCTCAAAAGAAAAGTTGGATACATTTTGCCCTGGGAGGGTGAGTAATCTGTACAAAATTCGGACAATTAAAGTTGGACATGAGCATACAAACTCAAGATCTCCTAATTATATGTCTGCATATTAAGTACACAGCACATTTCATTGGTTTGAAAGTGCATTTTTTTCATATTTGAGTATTTTTGTTCTGTTCTTAGATTTTTCTTAAACTTGACTGAACTTTCAGTAAAATGAGATATACAAAATCAGTAATAGCTGGACAGTGATAGCACATGCTTTTAATTCCAGCACTTAGAAGGTAAAGGCAGGTGATCTCCTTAAGTTCAAGGCCAGCATGGTCTATAGAGCTAGTTCCAGGACAGCCAAGGCTACACAGAGAAACCCTGTGTCAAAAAAACAAGAAAAAAAAATCAATATTAAGAACAATTGATCAAGGTAATGGCTTAAGTGGGAATTTTATAGTCATACATGCATTCTACCTTCAAGAATCCACAGAAAGGATTCTAGATTGAAGTATTTGACTTATGTATGGGAAAAGACATTAGAAATATCTTCTTTTTGTAGTTTCTTGAATTGTATAAAAGGCAATAAAAAAATTTGTGTCCAGCATTATATTCAAGATACAGTAGAAATTTGTGAATTCTTACTAACATAAATTAATCAAAGAAGGAAAAGATACAGAATGGATGAGAAGTAAAAAGCAAGACAGAAAGTGGTACAATTAATACAATAATTAATAAGAACAAAAACTGTGAGTCAAATACTTACTTCATCACTCTCTACTAGATTCTCAAACTGAAAGGACAAAAAGGTAACCATTAGGAGGGATATTTTTCGAGTATACACATCTCACAAGAAACTACCACTTTTTTAACCTTAAAGAAAAGAATGCAACTTTCTATTTATAAGGTACCTAAGAAGTTGAGTGCCTTTTATGATTAGCACATTTGGGATATTTCAGTCAACAAAATGGCCAACCCACACATGCATATAATTTTTTTTTTTTTTTTTTTTTTTTGTCTATCAGAATCCACAGTACTGAGCCAGACCCAGGGTACAGACCTATACTCTCAGCTAATCTGAAGGTGACGGTAGGAAGATGCAGTGCTTAAGGCCAGTCTTGGTGACAGTGTGAGTTCAAGGCCAGTCTGTATGATTCAGTGAGACCCTGTCTCAAAATAAAAAGTGAAGTACGAGGGATGAGGATGTGGGTCAGAGTGATAACCTAGTATTCATGAGCCCTGCCTCCAAAATAATTAACAATTTTGAAGTAGTTACTCTTTCACATTATAATCCGTACTAACTGTGGGCCTAAATCTTTATTATCTAAATAAAGAAAGTGAAAAGCTGGGGAGAAGCCTGCAGCTCAGGACACTCGCTGCTCTTGTAGAGGACCCAGGCTTGGTTTTAAGCACCTATATGGTGGCTCAAAAGTCTGTTACTTGCTAGGAATATGCCGCCCTCTTCTGGCCTCTTTGAGCACTGCATACACACAGTGCACAGTGCAGGCAAACTCCACACACATAAATCTCAAAAGAGAAAGAAGACCTCTGGGTACTGTAGATCCTATCCAGGGCTCAAGACTTACCTCTATGGTCAGGTGCTCTCCTCTTGGGCATGTTCTGAAATATTTTGATCTAGGAAGAAAAACATAAAAACAATGTTAAAAAAAATCAAAACTAAGTCTAAAACTGAATATGGCAGAAAAACAAAAACAAAAACAAAACATTAAATTCTCTAACAGTATTTCTAAAAACAAATAAAATGTACGTAAGACTATATATATATATATATATATATATATATATATATCACTAGTTTAGATTTTTAAACTTCATTGCTAGTTAACTAACCAATCTTTTTATTGGCACTAATGTTTACTAAGTCTGTAATAATAAGTTAATTTAAGCAAATATTACATAGAACAGAATGCAGCGACATTTTAAATTTTATCTTTTTGCTATATCAAATAAAATGTCTTTTTAAAAATGGAGGTAAATCATCCAGGAGTGTGGAACCTGCCTTTAATCTCAGCACTCAGGGAGCAGAGACAGGCGGACCTCTGTGAGTTGGAGGACAGACTGGTCCACAAAGCGAGTCCTGGACAGCCAAGGCTACACAGAGAAACCCTGTCTTGAAAACAACTTCCACCCCACAAAAAGGGAAATATAATGAAATCACATGCATTGTATGAAAATGTCAATGAAATCCATCATTATGTATACCATGTCAAAAAACAAAGAAAACCAAAAATGCCCTTAACACACACACACACACACACACACACACACACACACACACACACAATGTGAAACTAAATAATATATACAATTAGGATGTCCCTTACATTTTAAATATATGCAAAACACCACAACTCTGAAAGGATAATGTAGGTCAATGTAGGAAGAAGAACAGTTATCCTGAGCTGTGAGAGGAAGATCCTATAATCCCATTGCTTTAAAGGCTGAGACAGGAGGGTTGCTGAGAGTTTGAATCCAGCTAGGGCTACATAGCCAAGGCCTTAGTATCCGAACAAAACCAGACATTAATGGGCCATATACTTATAGAAGCCCTTTTGTTCTTTTCTTATGCCTTCACAAATGAATGATGAAAAACAAGTCAGAAATGTCCACTAGATTAATTTTTCTATGGGGTGGAGCAAATCTTCCCTCATTTTGATAATTCATTTCTGTGCCTCTCTGACACTTAGATGCCATTAAATAAGCACCTTCATTACCATGTCTGCCCCAACAATAAATCTATGCTCTACCGTAACACCAAGTCCGTCGCAGACAAAGTCAATTCAAATTCCTTTGCTACTAAAAGTACCAGGCATCTTTAAGACTTTCACTGATGTGCAGTTCCCACAAGAGTTGTCAAAATGAGTAAGGGATGCCCTCATCGGAGCCATATTTGCTCTTACGGTTCCTAATTGTCAGGTTTCTTAGAGAGGGACCTCTTTGAACACTGAGTTTTGGGTGAGGTCAGATCTGACGCTTTGTACATGTACATATGCATGAAGGCGGCTTACAGAGTTGGGGAAAATGACATATTATTGCAAACAATGAATAAGAGAGCAAAAGGTTATAGTTGCTGTTTTTTTCCTGAGACATTTTTTTAAGCTGAGAGATGTGATAGCTCATCTTCATTGTCAGCTGACCGGGCTTAGCAGCATGTGGGATCTGTAAGAGCATTCCCTGAAGAATTCACTGAAGGGAAACACTGTTGAGTGTCATGTCCTGTTGCTGTGATAACATAAAGGAGAACGGGTTTACCTGGCTCACAGTTCCAGGTCACAGTCCACCACTGTGGAGGATGGAAGGTGGCGGGAATGTGAAGCAGCTGGTCACACCCAGTCAAAGCAGAGAGCAAGGATGCATGCGTGCATGTCAGTGTTTCCTCCTTTCTGCCCAGGGCACCACCATGAAATGCTGCCACCCACTGTCAGGGTGGGTCTTTCTATCTCAATCAACACAATTAAGAATACCATTCACAAGCACTTCCACAGACCAACCTAATCTGGACGATTCCTTGGGACTCCCCAGGTGGTTCTAGATTGTGTGAAGCTGACACAGGAGCCATCACAGGCACCATTCCACGGGCCAGTGTCCTGGACAGAATAAATGAGAAGAGCAGCAGAGAACCTGGCTGCCATGATGTGAGCAGCATATGCCTCCCAGGCCACGAGGAATTAGACCCTCTGACAGTGTGAGCAGAGCTCAACCCTTTCTCCTGCTTTAATCTATGTATGTTGGGTATTTTGGTCAAACAACCACACAAACATAACAGTTGTTTTATGTCTTCCTTTCCCCCAGGTTATAGGTAGAAAGTAAAGGATTCTGTACTGTCTTTTAAAAAGCTCATGGAATATTCTAGCATAAACACAGTATCTTTTATTCTCTAGTCACCCAGGGTCTCCATGCTTCAGTTTTTCAAGCAAAACCAAAAAACGACAGAATATTCCAGAAGCACTGTGCTCTGATGGTGGGATTCCTGCTTCGGGCATCAGATTTGTTTCTCTACATATCACCGTGACCCACTTGCTTGAACAGTCTGTCTCTCCTTAAAGTATTCTTGTTCAGGCCTGCTGAACGGGCTAAGTGAATGATGACAAGTTCAGCAACAGTAGCGCAGCCTAGGACATTCCCCACGCTGCACAGAACAGTCAAGACAAGGGAGGTGACTGCTGCACTACACCTATAGGCTGGTGACTATCACAACCGGAGTTTTGGGGAAGCCAAGGGCTCTCTGGTTTCTCTCCCCACAACTGGTTACAGGGAGAAGATTCCTAGTCTTGCCTGACTCAGAGTGGTCAAGCTACACACCGCTACACTCCATTTGAGTTGTCAGGAAACCAAACATAGGTAATATCTTCCTGAGATTGGCGGGGCTTCACTTTAAAAACACAGACTGAAACCTTAGTCACAAAGGACATATATTGACTCCTACAGTAATGAGACCATATTGACTGGTTAAAGTAAATTAGCAATTTGGCAAAGTCAGGCACTTTTTTTTTAAGAGAAACTTTACTGTGGGGCTTTTCTAAAAAAAAAAAAAAAAAAAATTGGATATTGGAACATATATACATATTAAATGAATTATGGATGTCTTTATTTCTTTAAACACTGCTGGCACTTGCACAGACCCTCCACAGACATGCGCAGTATTAAACTGGATCAGTGATATTTGGATGATTTTAAGCCATAAAAAACTATAAAACACTAAACTACAGCTGTCCTCAAATTTTTCCACGGCTGATATTTTGAACATGATTAGAAGGCAAATGTTTTTAGGTTCTATTTCAAGGATGCCTCCTTAACACATAGGCAGTGTGCCAATTCATAGAAGTGCCCTTCAGTAAATGCTCTATCCCTCAAGCAAATGGAGGACACCAAGACCCAAGCCTTTCATACTACTGACTGCTCAAAGTCTAACAAATGTGGACTATATGCTTTTAGTATTTCCTACAAAATGCTTCCTGGCTTTCTAAAAACCTTTATTGATTCTTTATGAATTTCACATCATGTACCTCAGTCCTACCCATCTCTCCATCCCTTCATATCTGACCCCCTCCCTTGTGACCTCACTCACAAAAGAAAATAAAATATAAGAGCAAAGCAAAACAAAACAAAAAACATCTCATCATGGAAGCTGTAGTGTGTCGCAGTGTGCCACCATTTCATCCACACATCTTCACTTGCAAATGTCCACTAAAAGGAGTTGTTGGTCTGTTTTGGGGGCCCTGGCTTCTGCTAACCATCAATACTGGACTCCCCTGAGATATCCTGTTGTTGCCCTGTGTCATAGAGATCCTGCAGCTTTGAATCCGCAGAACAACCCCTTCACACAGTCCAGCAGTTCATAGATGTTGGGGTGGATCAACTCAAAGCCCTGGGTCTAAGCTAGGCCTACCTTCTAGCTACAGCACTCGGGACAGCGGTCTTGACTTTTTATTTTCTACCTCACAGTTCTGTTCCAGAGTAAGGGTGAGTCTTTTGTCAACCACTCAGGCTCCTAACCCATCCATCATTAAAGTAGCATATTAACCTTTTACCATGGTTATTAATATCCATTAACTGCTCAGCTTCACTGTTTGACTAGAGTACTCAGGTCCATAATTTTTCAGATTCATTACAGATTTTTTAGAAGCCATCTGCTCTATTAAGAACTTCCTTAGGGGATCTAATGATTTACTGCTTTAAGAGACCAACCAGCAATCCTCTGTAGTGGCACAGAGCAGAATGGCAGTGGAGAGGATCATAGTAGCAACAGGCAGTACTGACAGTCCTTTGAAGACAAGGCTCCCAGAATATGCTAACAGAGGGAGAAGTACTTAAGACGTCAGAAATCAAGGATGGAGACAGACGTCAGGGATGAGGAAGGTTAGAAGTGGTACAGTGTGCAGCTTGGAGATCAATGTGAGTACAAAACCAAGAGTCTGGGTGAGAATCCCCTATTTAATGCTAAATGAACAACACTAACACAAACATCAGTCCCAAACCCCTTAGGAGTGCTATCTAGCCACTAGGTAGCTAGTCACTAGATACGTAGTCAGTAGTGCTATCTAGCCCTAGCACTGGGGATGAAGAGGCAAGATGAGAAGAGCTGAAGGCCAGCCTGAAAGGACAACCATCCAGGCTTTGTCTCAGCACTTCTTATAAACAACCCCGGGGCTACTTCTCAGGTCCAGACCACTAGAAGCATTTTTCTTTTCTTTCTTGCTTCAAACTAAAAAAATCATTTATTTTCTATCCCAAGGAAGGTTGGTTATAGACAAAGACGGTAAGATCAGCATTTTCTCCTTTCATACTAATACCTCATGTCATGACCTGAATGAACATGTTTATGTGTGGGCTAATATGGAACTTCGGTGACAAACAAAAGCCTCAGACCTCATTCTCAAACAAAGTGAATGCAAATAATATATATCTTATGATTTTTAAAGGAAATTACTCCTAATTACTATAAAAAAAATGGAACTATTCTTGGAATGGAGAGGCAGGGAGAGCGAGTTAAATTTTGTTAAGTTAGAAACAGACTAAAACTAAACCATCCCTAGAAGATCAGTTACGTTGGCACGCTGTCCCTTTGTTCCAAACTACACCAAATACCTCCTGCTGTATTGGCCATTTCAAAG